ACACACACACACACAATCTGTGTATGGTACAAGTTACTGGACTGTATGAAACATCAAACATATTTGCCTCTGCAGTATCATCCCATCACCTTCTTTGTATTCATGAAATCCCGATAGCAATTCCTTCTTTCCTTCCTTCCTCCCTCTGCATCTAGAATATTCACCGCTCACCTCTACTCATACATCCCTGTCAGTAGCATTCATGGCTCTGTCACCAACTCCTAATACAACACTTGGCAGAGCCAAGAGCAAAATAAATGTGCCAAATAAAGACAGGTTTAGGATTCCCAGGAACTATGCTGTTGTATTTATCATTTTGCTCTTCCTGTGATCCTCATGCCCATTTCTCCTACCCTGCCCTTTTAGGACAAGGTGGAGAACCTTTATTCTTCCAAGCCCCCTTTGGATACGATAACATTATTCACAGGTCATTCAAAACTATTAATACAGGCAGACAGGCTGAGAGCAGCTGACAAGAAGCATACATGTCTGCCTTATCACGTACCAAATTATTATGAGGGCCTTATATTGCCAGAGGGCTAGAGATTCCCCATCCTTGCTTCACAGAAACACACCTCCTTATTGGTAACCTCATGGCTACTGAAGTTGTTGACTTTAGAAAGAAGCACTGGCATGTTCACATGGCCACTACCCCTGTATTACTCACCAGCTGATGACAACTATTTCACTTTATTCCTAAGGCTTCTTGGATAGGCCTCAGTCCTTTCTACAGGTGGACAGAAGGCCTCATTAGCACAGCAAGCAGCTTTTCCATCTGAGATTTTATATCTAGATGAAGCCATAGGTTAGGAACCTCTCAGAAAGCAAGGTCCAGCCAAAATCCACACTATCTCTCTGTCCACAAGAATATGACTGAGCTTTCAAGATGGGTTTTCAAGACTAGTGGGAACTTTATATTTTAAATTCTAATGACCACACTAGCTACTCTAAGAAAACAAATGGCAAATCCTTGCATAAAGTAGATATCTGGCTCAAGTTCAACTCTGGGAGAAATATTAATTTTCATATATCAAGCTTACATTAATAATGACAAAACAAGAGCTATTATTTATCTATTTACTGCAAGCTATTAAGAGCATGACAGCATGATCAAAGCTTTAAACACATTTCCTTCTTTATCATCACTCCATGAGGTAAAAATGTTTATTATTTCTATTCTTCAGAGAGAAAACCAAGTCTAAGAGAAAGGGCTGGGATTAATACCCCAGGCCTCCACATAACCAATCACGATTGTTTCTCTGTCGTTTTACTATTTAGGCTGCTTTCTCCTCTGAGGGGTTCACAGACATTTACTTGCCCAGAGACAGCCTTGGAGGATAACCTCAAAGGCTGAGATTTTTCTCTGCGATGTACATGTTGAAAGGAAAGCAACCTCCAACAACTTACCTTTCAAACATACATCTCTACATTAAAAGAGAAAACTGAGATTTAAGAAAAATATGTGGGAATAGCTCAGGAGTGTTTATGACTGCAAATCCACAAACGTATTTTCAATATCTTACTAGTGGTCAGGCAGTATGCTGGGTGCTGAATTATCAGACTGTCAATGGGGAGAATGCCAAGGGACAGAGTGGTTGAAGGGAAGAACTTCTCACACGGTGACTGTATCAGAAATGTTTAGCCAATAATTTATAAAACTGTTATGTTATATCGAATTAAGTAGAAATCATCTTTCACATAGAAAAGGTGAGAGCTACATGCTTTTATTATCTGTAAATACATAAATGAAGAACTGTATGTCTTCTAAAAGCAAAGTTTCATGTAATTCACCTAACTCGTGTGTATTTCTGATACCTTATACTAGAGAGTTAGATGGTAAGATCTGTGAATATCAAAACCATGTAAGATTTTGTTCTTAGGAATCTGAAAAAAACAAATGAGAGAAGAGTAATGAGAGCCAAAACAAGACTAATTCCCAAAATAGAAACAGAACATGTTGCAGTTGCTTCTAAACACAAATAGAGATGAGAATACAAAAGCATCTCTTTAGGCATTCCTCCAAATATTCATAGGAAGGAGGCTAGAATAAGGACATGAAGTAGCAGACAGCAGACCCTGAAAAGGTCACATACTGTCTGTAAAGCCTTCTTACAGGAAAAGATGCTTTTGACAAAAGGTTATGAAAGGAAGACTTTCTCTTTTATAAACTGAAAAAAATTTGATAATTTACAAAGTCTTTGCAGCTCTACTACCTTAGGTTCTTTTCTTCTTTCATGCATTTTTTCTTATTAAATCACATTTCAGAGCATGTTTTATTTATCTGTCCAAAATAGGTACTTTTACATTTACGAATTTTCTCTCAAAAAATCTCTCTTGTACCTAAAGAAAGATAAGCATATAGATATGCTCACAAAAACATTTGTTAAATTAATTTAAAAAATTATGACCTTACTTTAAAAAGACTTTAGCCCAGCATTGGTGGCTTATACCTGTAATCATAGCTGCTCAGGAGGCTGAGATGTGAGAATCAAAGTACAAAGCCAATTTGAGCAGAAAAGTCTGTGACATTCTTATCTCCAATTAACTAGCAAAAAGCTGAAAGTAGAAGTGTGTCTCAAGTGAAAAAGTCAAGCCAGAGCAAAAGGCCCCGAGTTCCAGCCCAAGTATCTATCAAAAGAAAAAGATGAGGAGGAGGAGGAGGAGAGAAAAAAAGGGAGACAATGATAGGAAGAGAGAGGGGGAAAGAAAGAGGCAAAGAGAGGACAGGAATAGAGAGAGAGAAAAAAAAAGATGTCATGACAACTGGTCCTAATCTATGGCCTACATCCAACAAATTAAGAGAAAAACCATTATCAAAATAGCTACATATCTCATGCTGGTTGCTGTTAGGACCAGTTTCCTGACCTCTGAAATAAAAGGTATCCCACACAAGTGGTTTACGCCTGTAAACCTAGCTACTTAAGAGGTTGAGATCTGTGGATTGTGGTTGGAAGGCAGCTGGGGCAGGAAAAGTCCATGAGACTCTTATCAACACAAAGCCAGAAGTGGAGCTGAGGCTCAAGTGGTAGATCTTTATCCTTGACCTAACAAGCACAAAAGCTCAGGGGTAAGGCCCAGACCCTGAGTACAAGCCCCAAGATCAGCTCACAAAAAAGTAATATAAAGATATATAAATATACCATTTGTGAAACCTTCACAATATGCCAAGAATTACGTCAAATATTTGCCCTTACACTGAAATGATCTAAATAGTTTTTGCAACATGATATAATGGAAAGACTGAATTTTGTAAATAAGGTTGAATTGCTTCTTACCTCAGTAAGATAGAGACATTTTCTAAGTAGAAACTGATATGCAGAAAGGATTAATTCTAGTACTTCTACTCACTAACTGGATCCTCTTGAACAAGTGCTTTTGATTTTGATCTTTGCTTTTGATTTCTAATCTATAAAATTGATATATGAATGGTTTAATCATTTTAAATGATTAAATTACAATAACTATATGTAATATGCATTGGATAAAGTATATTTAACATTTTATGATTAGCTGTAAAACTATATTCCCAAGCTTTCTCTAATTTAAAATGATACAGTATTTTTTAAAGAAATCATGTGAACAGACTCTTAATTTAAATTGTCAAGTATTAGCTGCTTATAAGCATGTACATTCCCTAATACTTGGAACATACAACAATTACATTATCCAGTAATATTTATTCCAAGCATATGCAATATAAATGTAAAAAACCTCAAAATCTTTACTAAATATTTCCCTTTAGTCCCAGCTTGAGGCAGATGGACAAAGGCTACTAGCCAAAATACAGGTGTACATGGGAGTTGTAGTTCCAGGTGAGAAGCAGCCTCCATGGACCCTCCAGAAGTGAAACTTCATCTCCCAGGAGACACTTCGCCTCCCTACATAGCACGCTGGGAAGTGAAGTATCTGACTTCAGAGAAGCGTACTATCAGACCGCTTCGACATAAGTGGAGAACTACTACTCCCAGAGGCCTCCGCTCCTCCGGTGGTTGGCCTTAAGATGGAGCCAAGAGGAAAAGCAACATTGAACTTTCACCGTAGATGTGAGTGCGGTTGCTTTTGGCACTCCCGTGGTTAGTGCCTTTCTAAAACAACCACACCAGTATTTCCTGCTGGTCCGCAACACATGTCTGAAAAACCCAGAATAATAAGTGCAGTTAAGCCTGCAAATGGCAAACATTACCGTGCATGACCTGAACTTAACGTTCGGCTTCAAGCAGCATCCTTTCCACCTGAGCGCAGAGCTTTCAGAGGGGCTATTTGCTTTGGGTGTTGTTTGTTTTTTCCCAGGTTTAGCGCTGTGAAGGGCTGGCCTGAGTCCACACAGCAGGGGCAGATGTTTGGATTTATAGGGGGAAGTTGCAACTGTAAGTCAAGTTCCCCTAAAGTTTCCTCTCACCTGCAGGTTGTTTACCTAAACTTTCACACGGGGATATACCTGAAAAATACCAGCGTATGCGGCTCAGTATCAGCTGCAGCAGCAATAATAATAATAGTAATAATTTCTCAAACAGGGAACCGCTGAGCCCCGCTACCACCGATGACCCGGTGTGCTTTTACATATCAAGGGCAGATCCGTCACGAACGATTTGCCTCGGTCAGCCTCACTTGGTTCCTGCACCTGTTCAAACCTTCAGTTCCGAACGGCTGGGGCAGGGACTGCTACTACTTGTCTGAAACTGAAGGCGCCATCCCGTCATGGGACCCAGGACCGGCTGCTCGGACCTCCTGCCTCAACTTCCCCACTTCTAAAAGGAAGGATGAGAGGGTCAGGGCGAAGGCCGGTGCTGAAGAACTGAGACTGCCGAGTCCCAACCCCGAGCCGTCTGCAGAGCGCGAGAGTCCGGGAGACCGAGCCGAGCCTCCCCACGGGGAGACGCACCGGCCCCGGCCCGCCCGCCCCGTCTCGCCGGGCCGCGCCAGCAGACGCGCTGGGACACCCCGAAGACCCGCAACCCAGACACGCTGTTCCACTGGGGCTTCACTCCCCGCGCCCCTACCTTCCAAGATCTTGGCAGCTGGGAATGAAAGGCGGAGGAGGGGAGCGCGGGACACGAGCGCCGCCCAAGCGAGTGCCCACTAGGGTGGCGCCGCCTGAGGGACAGGGGAGCGGAGGGCAAAAAGTGCCTCAACCGAACCGAACGCGGGGAGACTACAATTCCCAGCAGGCCACGCGGTAGGGGCGGGGCACAGATGGTGGCTCGTCAACGGACAGCAGCAGAGACCAATAAGAGCTGAGAACGTGCCTACACCAGGCTAATCAGAATACAAAGGAACAACAACAATTCCCATTTTTCTTGCAGCTGGTGAGCCGCTGAGGTAAAAATCTCTTTAGAAAGGGTTGGTTTTTTTTTTTTTTTGTCATGAATTCACACAAACGTGGCGTTTTCCAACCCAACAATGGAATGTGATTCATTCCTTGCCGCCAAAAGCTGCGCTTCACTTGTCCCTCACGAGTCCCTCTGGCTGGATGTCCTTAACCTTTCTTGGTTCCTTGGGATTCCTATCTTTTTCTTTCTCGCAGAACTTTCACACAGTGCTTTCCTCGATTCCCTTTTCAGTGCTGTTTGCTCAATAGCATTGTTACAGCCCAAACTGCATAAAGTTTACCTATTTATCTATTCTACTATTTTGGTGGTCTTATTAGCATGCACATTCCATGCAGATGAGGATTTTTTTTTTAAATTTTGGTGCAGTATTTTTAAGCACCTATAAAAGTACCTGGCACACACAAAGGTTTTTGTCTAATTGGGTGAAATCTAAAGGTGGCCTTTCTATTTTCCTCTCCTCTCTGACCACCACTGGGGCCTTGCACCTGACCTCTTTTTTAATTCAATATCATAGTTGTCACGGATGCTGGAGAAATCACTGGTTCCAAAGCGGTTCCTACTCCCAACATGTACCAGGTCTGATGATAATGGTTAACTGAATTTTGCAAGAAATGCAGTTTAAAAATTTCAGAGCAGCTAAATAATTATCCTAGCAGCATATAAGTCCTAAAGAGACCAGAATCCTGGCTGTAGACTCTTGTGGCTACACGATAACTATTTCTTTTAGATTCTTTTCTTCTTATAGATGCTTCCTTGTTTCCCCCCCACCTCCCGACATAGTTCTAATTCAAAGAAGAAAATATATTTCCCAAGAAATCATTTACATTTTAAAAGGAAAAGAAGAGCAATGGCATATAGACAAATGCTGAGATAATGTCTCTAATTCTCTCTTTTAAAAACTCCTCTATCTCCCTTCTTCCCTCTCTCTCTCTTCCTCCCTGCTCTCTCTCCCTTTCTCTCTCTCCCGCCTTTCTTCTCTCTCTCCCTCCCTCAATCCCTCCCCCCTTCTCTCCCTTTCTTTCTTTGGCCTGACTCATTACATGCAGGTGATTACACCAAGTCTTAGATCTTTCATCCTTTCTGATGTTTGAACCCCACAGAGAGTAGCAGGGTGTCCTACAAAACATCCTGGTGTGAAATATGGATGCTCTCAGAAGCTTGACTCTCAGAATGTCTCACTGGATTACAGTCAGATTATAGCTACTACACAGAGATACTCGGAACACACAAAATATTAGAGAATATGGATACAAGATGAAATTGAAAACAATTACAGTTAAAACAGCAGGAATGTGATCAATATACAGACTAATTTTGTGCACAGGGATTAAAACCCCACTTCAGGCTTCCTAGCCTAATCTTCTGTCAATTTGGAGCCCTTTCCTATAACACACAGCTTCTAGCTTTTATGAGCATGGACTTAGCCTTCACAATGTTCCTGAAGCTGACCAGCATGAGATATTTTAACATATGTGTCAGCAGCTAGATTAAATGTGGAAGAAAATCAGTGGACCATATGAAACTGGAAAGCTCAGCACCTAGACTCTCCAGAGAAAGTATTAGCTTACAACTATTACATCTATTTTTTAACAGAAATATCATAAATACTGTCAGGATCTAAACAGTGTGTATCTATCTAATGATTAAGGGCAGTCTAATAATGAATGTATATGTATTCCTTCAGCTGTAAATATTACTGATTGCTGGGCAGATGGCTAACTGGGACATTCACAAACAGCATTAAGAATAGCACTCTCCTTGGGCCAAGGTCCTTCAAGTACCCAAGACAGTCAATGGGGAGGTTACCATGTAATCCATGACTTGACTGAGGAATCATCTTAGATTGGGTTTTCTAACAAGCAGGTACTGAGACATATATTCAACTGCAAGTAGGTTGTTTTGTAAGTAATTGCAGGAAGTACCAAGAAGAGGATAGGAAAGTGAAAAAGGGAAAGTAAAAAAGGCAAAAAAATGGTATCACGTCTAGCACATTACAAATAGAGACAAATATAAATTAATCCTCTGTGATCTCTGTGAAGCAATATGGGATACATACCTTAGAATGGAACTGAGCTATGTCACTCGGAAGACAAAAGAACTGGGTAGTCTAAATGCTGTCTTATCAGCTGATGGAAGCTGCTTTCAGAGGATATTAAGGCCCTGAGTGCTCACAGAAAGTTAGAAATAGATGTACTGTCACTGGCAGTAGGGGAATAGAAGGAACTGACAGGGCACCAATAGAATCTGCTACAAATGGCACACTCATGTCACTGGGGCTAGCAGAATGAGAATAGCTCAAAAATGTAGTAGGCACATTAAAAAAAAGTCTGGGGGGGGGTATGGGAAGGGATGGGAAGGGGAAACAAAGGAGGAGGCAACAATGCTTGATAAGAAATGTACTCATTATCTTGCCCATGTAATTGTAACCCCTCTGTATGGTATTTTCACAATTTAAAAAAAAAGCCCAAGCTGCTTACTACCTTGTGTCATTATCACATGAACAATTAAAATGCTACTTTCTAAACCATTAAGACATACAACACAAACAACAACAAAAGCCTCATTTACATTGGAAGCAGGACTCTCTGGACTTAAGGAATGGCCTGGGAATGGGTACAGAAAGTAGGAAGAGGATCAAGAAGAGTTTGCAAAAATAATATTGCTAGAGTCAATGTCTTTATTCTATGACCTTGAAGACGTATAAGTAAATGGCTTAGATTGTTTTTGAGAAAGTAGCAGAAAGATCTAAGTAATCTCAAACCTAGGAAGACAAATTTGTAAAAACCTTTAAGTTGTACCACTGTAGCACTTCATAGCTAATGGCTTTTCTTTATTACAGTCACCATTTTCTGTGTTTTTGTGTTTATACCCTGCTTCTTTCAGATGAAAAGTAAGCTCCATGAAGACAAAAGCTTAGTTTTTACCTTTTCCCAAAGTAGGTATTCAATAAATATATGTCAGTGAACAACTGTATTATGGCCAGCATGGCACAATAAACCAGAAAGCAGAGTATTAGAAGAGCCTGACATTTTTACTGCTTATAACATCTCTACTAAGTCATAATGTAACTTACAACAGAGAGCCTCACTATAACCTCCCATATCACAAGGTGTACAAACAACCTTATGTGTGAAAACATGGTGGTTCTGCTTGAGTTAATATCTATGCAGCACCCTCTCCAAGCACATAGGGCATGCATGAGATTCTTTACTTCGTAAACCCACTTCAAAACTAGAATGGCCTCAGTGGCAAAGAGTTCAACCCTCTGCAAAATTCATCTTAGCCATGTGTTATTGTTCATAAACTAGATTTTAAGATAAGCATCTTGAGGGGATTTACTTGAAAAAGAAAATCATATGTGATAGAAGATTTTTTTATATTGGAAAAAAGGAAAAGCGATACATTGTTATTCCTAATACAAAGTATAGAAGAGTTAAGGAAGTGCTGTGTTTAAATACAGATTTCTCAGCCTGCAATTTTTGAGATTTTTGGCTTTGGTTAGAAAATTCTGCTTGCTAATAAAAGCAAGAGCCATCTTGTGATACGCTAAAAAAAAAAATTCTAAATTTCCCTCATCTCTCTTTTTTCTTCTTTCATCTTATTTATCTCTTTGTTGTTCTGTGTTGAACATCTTCCTTGGGTAGATTTGTTCATCAGATATTTAGAGATCAGTCTATTCCCCATAGTTAGGGAACATATGCATGCTGTCTCCTTTTAACTATGCCTCATAAATAATCACACTTAATCCTTCTTACTGCCGTCTTTTGCAATCATCTTCCAGTTACCTAGAACATAAGGTGCATAAAACTAATCTCAGTGTCCAAGCTGTGATCTCACCAGGGTAGCTCAGAGATAAGCGATGATTTTCCATCACTCCCTTTCAAGATATTATGCCTCTAAACACATTGTCCTGGTTTCACCGCACTTTAAAGGCATTTCATCATTCTAGAAGATAAGACCCATTAAAGCATTTCCTAAAAATTAAAAAACTATATTTCTTTAGTAGACAACTTAAGGTAGAACAGTATACAGTTTTTACTCAGATCAGTTTCTCATAGGTTGAGGTCTACTCTTTGCCAGTTGCTGTGCTAGGGTTGTGATATACCAAGTAAGAGTGTGGTCTCTGGAGTTGTATTGTGAGTACAGCACTACTAACCATAAGCATGTACCCAGGTAAACTAATCAATGTGACGCCACAGTGAATTAATGTCAGAATGAATTGATTCTGCCACAGAAAGAGTATTCCAGGCATAGAAGACGAGTTCACACAGTATAGATTCTTTAGCCTATTACATAGAATAGAAGTAGGAATTCTTCCAGCCTCTTTTCTGAGGGTCAGCTCATGAAGGTTTCAGAAGCATATTTCTTGGTTTGCCTTCCAGTCAACTGGAAGCCTTGTAACTATACAATTAATCATTCTATTTGGATACAAAAAGAAGAAAATCGTATTTATTTACTATGGCCATTGCTTAGGGTATGGAGATATAGTCATGAGTAAATCTTTTTTAAAAATTCATGCTTGTGGGATACCTAGTAGAGAAAACAGAACATGCATGAATATAAAAATTCATAAATAAATCGTAAGTGTTGATAAAGGCTAGACTGAAAGAGCAGAGTAAGGAACTAGAAGACATTCCATATGAACAAAGGCTCCTTTGAAGGAGTGTCATTTAATGAAGTAATGGGACCAGCCAATAAGGGAATCCATGGGGAAATGTTCCAGACAGGGGTAAGTGTGGATCCCAAAGCACAAATAAGT